CGGCCGGCGCTGCAGCCTGCCCGCCTCACGGCTCTCTGCAGAACCAGAAACTGCTGCGGGAGAACCGGCTCCTGCGGGAGAAGGCGTGTGACCTCGCTGTGGAAAACCAGGAGCTTCGCCGCCGCCTGGGCTTGGATGCGCTGAAAGTGGAGGAGGAGAGCGAGCCCCAGGTGAGCCTCTGCCGCGGTGGTGGCCGCTTCTCCCTCGGCTGAACCTGCCGAAAGCTGCCCTGCTGCGAGGGGTGGCTGCGTGGTGGTGGGCGAGGAGGAGTAACCCCCGTGCCGAGCGCGCTGGGGCTGGAGCTGCTTCGCTGTGGAGAGGGACGCTTGGTGTGCTAAAAGCACTCTTGTCCTCCCAACGGAGGCTTTCCCACAGGCTGAACGGATACCGAGTTTGAAGCAGGTGCCCCTGAGATAGCAAGCTGACTAGTTCTAAGCTGTTGGAGATTATTTCATCTGCTCTTCTGCATTATGTTCTAGAAATGAAGTAGTAACTGTCACAGTCATGTCTCAAAAGAACAAGAGGTATAGTGAAGGGAGTCAGGCTCTTACTTAAACGCGGTGAACAAGACAATGCAAAGGTATAGAAGTTTGAGCCATCTTCAGTAGTGATCTTACCTGCAGGTTCCCACTGCACAAGTAAGTGGAGAATCTAATGCTGGAAGCCTTTGCAGGAAGAGCATGGTCTTCAGGATTGTGTACTCTGCTGTCTGCCAGAATGTTTGTGGTGACTGGATTTTTTTCTCCTTGGCACAGGTTGTGAAGGAATCGCAGGTGGATGAGATTAGATTGGTGACCGGGTCCGCTGAGTCCGCAGCACTCAGACTACGTGTTCCTCTGCAGCAGGTGCAGGCCCAGCAGTCACCATTTCTGATAACTTCCACATGGATTCTGATGGCAGTGACTCTTCAGACTCAGAGGTGAACATCCACTCTTGCCCAAAATGTCCATGAAATTCAGAACCCTGTAGATTTAAGACTAGTGTTGCAACTTCTTGATATAAAGTCACTTGACTTTCCATAGTTGGCTTGTCTTCCAAGTCTTGGAATGCCATGCCTGTGGCTCAAAACAGCTGTGATGAGCTGTGTCCAGTGAGTACAAGAGTTCATGCAACTCGAGCAAGTCCAGTTACTGTAAAATCTTAGATGATATTGTCTGAAACGGTCTCTTAGCTCCTACAGCAGAAGCATACAAATACAGAAAGTATACTGTGCTTTTGCTGTTGTTGAAAACAAACTTGATCGCTTTGCCAGTGTGCTGGCACTTAGCAAAGCTGTTTGAACTTAAAGCCTGTCCCTTATGAATGACATTCAGAAATGTAAGGGTGGGCATCTTTCACCTTTAAAAGCAACCAAGAAACAAACAAAAAAAAAAAAACCCAAAACCAAATCCAAACCCCTCAACTTTGGTCATGGGCAGGTCTGCCTAAGTCAGGTTCTGGCATGTGCTGAGGTGCCAGCGGGTAGTGTGGTGTTTGTACCTGCTGGGTCCAAGATCTTGAGGAGTTTCTAACACAGGCTGTCCATATCAAATGTGTGTGGAATTCTCTGGGGATCACAGTATCATTACAAAAAACCTTCATGGACAAAGAGTTTCTGAAAGATAAGTAATTGCCTTAACTGTTCTGATAGTGGTGTTCTTGGTAAAACTCCTAGTTCTGTGATCACATTGCTGTATTTTAACCTCCAGGTGAGGGTTAATAGATGCCACAACTGATGTTTTGCTGTAACAGTAGTAGGCTGTCTTTCTAAAACAGTATTTCATTCTGCAGTCTGATCTCCTGTTGGGCTTTCTGGACAGTCTGGACCCAGAGATGTTTCTCAAATACACTGATTCAGAGTCAACATGCCTGGAAAAGCTGGACAAAGAGATCTGTGGAGAAACAAATTCCATACCAGCCTCCCCCTCTCCCTCTTTGGGGTCCCCATCAGCTAAGCTGGAGGCCATTAATGAACTCATAAGGTTTGATCATGTGTACACAAAGCCCCTGATACTGGAGTTTCCTGTTAAAATGGGCAACCAAACCAATACGCTAGTGAAAATTGAGGAAGTATCTCTCCCTCCGTCTGAAGACAAAGCTATCTCCGAGGTCCCAGTATCTGTGAAAGAGGAACCTGTAGAAAGCTTCATGCCTGAACTGGGCATCTCTCATCTGCTTTCCTCCCATCGTAGCCTTGCAGCCTCAAGCTATCTGTTCGATGCCTGTAGTGACTCTGGGTATGAAGGATCCCTGTCGCCCTTCAGTGACATGTCCTCTCCATTTGATGCTGACCATGCTTGGGAGGATAGCTTTGCCAATGAACTCTTTACCCAACTGATCAGTGTCTAACCTTAGTGTTAACTCCCCTTGGATAACTATCCTGGCAGGATAACAGGATGTGCCCCTTTTGGGGGGTGGGGGGAGGGGAATGAAGTGTATTTGGAAAAGTGTTGCTCACCTGTACCCATGCTAGTAGATGGAGCGATGGCCAATGCATTTCTCCTGGTATGAAAAAGCCTAGGGTGTCCTGTCCTCGCCCCCCCCTCAGTGTTGGCTTGGTTTCTCAATAACTTGCCAATTCTACGTGAACCTGAAAATGGTTTGTTTTTCCCATTTAAAATAATTTTAACACCAAAAACTGCAATGGGACATTCACGTATAGACAACTGGGTTAAACTAAATGGTCTGTACATCTTACAGATTTACTATGTAAATGCTTGTTTTCCATTTGCTATGTAGAGTTGCTTTCTCCATTTAATATTTAACTGTATCGGTGCAATTAAAGTGCAATGCAGCTCACTGGCCCTGTTTTTGCCTTGGATCTTGGTGGGGAGCGGGGAGTATCTGGGCCTTGTAGAGTTTGAGACTTGAAATTTTAAGGGATGAGGTTTCTGTTTTCCTTACACCACCTTAATGCACTGATCCAGCAGGATGTAGCTGGACGCTTCAGCAGCTTCTTTCTGGGTGTACTTGATGTTGCAAGCTTGGTTCAAGGCAGGTAAGTTTATACGATGGCTAGAGCGGAATCTGCAGCCTGGATAGGGAATGCAGGTGGCAATAGCTTGATGTCTGAATAAAATTACCGTAATATCTTCCTGTTGGCAAGTAATGCTGTTCAAAATGCTCAGGCTGAGTGAGGGTGGGTGCATCTCAAGTGGTGTGTCTAGTGTTTGTGAAGCAGTGTGAGACATACATGGTGTGAAAAAGGTGCAGGGTCTGTTACTGCAGGAATTTCTGAGCCTAAAATGAACTTTGCAGGAGCTAATTTCAAATACCACAGTAGGACACTGTTGTCCTCATCCATTTCTTCCAATGTCACAGTATTAAAAACACTTGAATGAGAGTGACAGGGAAGAAACTGAAACTGTACTGGAAGTGTGAGCAGTTCCAGGTGCTTGCACAGCTGTTCTTGGTTTAAGTGCTCTCTCATGTCCTGCATTAGCTTTTGACAAAAATAACTTGAGGTGGGGGAGGGAAGGAAATGGGGGATGGGACAGGAGGGTATTGGTCACTAATGTTCAAGGTGACAGGACAGTCTTTGGATTACAAACTCAAGTCACCTAGCTCGTCGTAATAAAGCATTCTTTCTGAATATTGACAGCAGTAAAAACTACAGCTGTGCAATACAGCAGAAACGTAGATGAAAAAATTTGGTAGTCTAAGTTGCTTTACTTTCAAGATGGAAAATAGGGATGACCGCAAGAGGGCCTTCAGTACCTAATACATGTTGTTGTGAGTCCAAAAAGCAAATGGACAAGTAGGAATTTAATCTAGAGTTTTGCATTACTTTTGTTGGTATTATTGGAACGTCATAGGAAATAATGAGAGGAAGAAGTTTCATTTCTTTAAAACTCATAGAATCATTTAGGTTGGAAAAGAACTTTCTCAGGTCCAGCCATTGACTTGTTAGTCATCTCTCTGTTTTCTAGCCTAGAAGTCAAAGACACAGTCTACAGGAAGAAGTACGTGGTAGTTGAAAGTGGCACCTGTGAAAGGCCTGACATTTCATGTACCTTCCTCAGGCCTGTAGGAAGGCACAGACTAAGCGCACTGAGGATGTGCAGCACAGCCCACTGCTCTTGTGGCTGTTGTTCCTCGCGGCTGTTGTCACGCAGATGTCATCTGGCCTCTTCAAGGTAGTGCAACAGAAGGCTCAACACAGTAATTGATGGACCTGTGTCTCTGTGCGGTGCTGCGGTACTTCTAGGCAATGCGTGTTCTTGTGAACCGGATGTTCGAGGCTGGGTCACGAGGCATAACCTGTTCTGTATGAGGCTCTTGCTTATTTTTGCTTTTTTGGGAGCTGATCCGAATTGTAGATAAAGTAGAATTTTTTTGGTGATATATGCTATCTTCCGTAAGATACCTCAAGGTATCAAGATGTTTCTCAGTCCAGTTTCACTTGTGTGATGTTTATCATTAGAATTGCATTTTCTGTGCACCTAGACAAGCTACTGTGACTAAACCAAGCGCTTCTTAAGCATGGCAACTGATTACCAACCACTTCAGTAGCTGCTGAAAGTAATGCCTTTGCCAAAAGAAATTGGAATCAACTGATTTCTATTAGCACTAATATTTTTTTATTAGAATCAGTCCATTTAGGTGCTACCAAGACAGCATGAGGTTGTTTTTTTATATATATTTATATACTTTATTGACATCCACAGATTAAAGTGTGAGAATTCAAACTGTCAGCAGAGGATCTTTATCTGAGACATTCCTGTGGCTGGGAGACACTAAGTTAATGTAAACCCAGGCAAAGCTGGGGCAGCAGAGGTAAGAGTAACTCATGCGTAGAGCAGCAGATTTCACCTTTGCAGAATGCTTCCTTAAGATGACTGCTTTTGATTGCCCTGACTTCCATTTTGGAGTCCTACTTGCCTCACAAGTGTGGATCCAGACCCAGTGGTTCACATGTATGTTACACCTGCATTTGATTAAATAATCTGTGATGGAAGCCACATGTCTGCTCTTGCTGACTGACACAAGACACAGGCTCTGGCACAATTACAAGTCCAGTTCTAAGTCTATGCCAAAGTAAATTCTGTCCCTCTCTACAGGGTTGGCTCTGTAGCTGAGACACTCCTCCCATCGCTACAATCCCAAGGAGACCCTCAGCCAACCAGGAGAGCCTTACACAATCCTAAATGGGCTGGGTTTTACACTATGCTTTTCCTCTCTCCAACTCTGCTCTGGAGAAGGATGTAAGTCTCCTCTAAATCCACAGTACAATTAAGTGAGTCAATGTTTGACTTGGCCTGGAAACCTCAGGGGTTTCTATTATGATTGATTTAGTATATATCTGAAGTGCTATTTTTCCTTCATTTTGAAAGCAAAAGCAATACTGGTCTAACACACCCATCTTTTTATCTGAATTTGTTTTAAAACTCTCCTCAAACATTTCTTCATTTCATACAGAACTAAGCAAGCTAGGCATTCTTAACTTTAGTCTGAAGTAAAATGAAATATCTGAAAACACAGGCTATAGCAAAACCTTTTGGTACCCCTTTGCTTTGTTAGAAAGCCTTATGTCGTGATAGATTTACAGCAACTTTTCCTTTCTAGTGGCTTCAGGTTTATTCTACCCTGCTGTTGTGTCTCATCTCCCCCATCCTGTTGAACACCATGGAGGAAAGAAGTGATATGTCTTTGGGACTATGTAGTTAAATTAAAAATCTTAGGCCAGAAGAGTATTTTCCCCTCCCTTTGAAGGACTGGACATACACTCTCAAGGCTTTCACTTTTATTAGGAATGAAACACAGCCATCTAAAAAATATTTTAGAAAATTTATTGAAAACTGACATATAAAGGGTGATTTGGTCCCAAGATAAGACAGACCAGAATCAGATCTCCCATCTTTCAAAATAAAGTTTTTCCTAATACTGCATCACATTTGCCATCCCGCTTGTAAACAGCATTCATAAAAGTCTTTTAAGGAAGCCAACAACAAATGAAACTGTCACAGATACAGAAGTTTGAAAACATGCAGTAGCTCGTTTTCTCTTGCCCTCTCCAAGTGATTGCTGGAACAAGAATCTTGCTTAGTCTGAGATACTTGATTCCTGCTCTACCTGACTCTTCTCCCCCCCTCATCCATTTAAGCGATTCAACCCTCTTCTCTCCTATCACAAGGGCGGAAATTAATTACAAAAAAATCAAGATAAATGTTTTCTATCAAAGCAAATTTCTTGGACAGTTTTTTCCCTATCTCATGGTCTTTGTCTATAGTCCACCACGATATTCTCGTTTCAGATGGCAGTGATGCTGTATTAGCATCAAATGAGTAAGAGGAAATGCACCTCTGAAAGTCAACCTCTGGTACAAACATAACAGGGAAGAAGTATGCTTAAAAGCAATCTGCAAAAAATCCTCCTTCTGCAAATTTGACATGCAATTTGTCATTTTTAAGAGGAAAAAACCTGCATCTAGATTTGATGTATTTAGGCCTCCCACAGTTTTCTACATCCTCTGTTGCAATTTTAGTGTTGCTGAGATGGTTTAATTACGTTTTTGAATTTTTTTAATCCTTTTCAGTTTGTTTAGGATTCAGAGCTATCAGCTAAAGCAGTTGCAACTTTGAACTTTCACTATAATCCTGCGAGCTTAAAACCAGGTAATTATTTGGAGGCACCACATTTGCTACCCGCGGTGACTATGGCATTCCCCAAACTGCGCTGCTTTGCTGTAGACTTCAAGCATGTTCACCAGCTCAGTAATACATGAGATATTTTACACGGTACATTCAAGAGATTTATAGCAGACCATGAAATGAAATTAGACATAACAGCAAGATGAAGCTGCACACGTTCTCCAATTTAATAAGAGTTTCAGAATGGTGAAGTTATAGACTGGTTTGCAGAGTAATACCTATTTGAATGTTTTTTTAGAGAAGCTCTGAAATGTTTTAGCAAGAGACAGCAAATTTTACACAGCCTTTGACAAGAGCAGCAAGATGACAAACGGGGTTTAACAAATAGGGGTATTTTTTGAACAAAGCTTCCGCTGTCAGCCAAAAGGAAAGAAAGGATGACAGCAAAAAGAGAAGCTTGATTTTAACTATGGACTATGGGTTATTCGACAGTAAAAAAATACCATCACAAAGATTATCAGTTAGCGGTGCAAAGGAAGAGTAGATTTTCTTATGCAGATAGCTGCATTACTGTGTACTTGCTCCTTTATGTTAGCAAGATGTCAAAACCAGACTGGGATGCTAAGGCTCTGAACAGAACCTATTACTTGGAGAGGAATTTCTTACAAAAAGCCTCAATTCAGCTATCTCTGAGAAAGCTCAAGGTCTTAAGAACAGAAGGTAAGATTCTCTGCCTTGTTTAAGGGTTTTAAGCGTAATGGAACTGTTGTGCATTGATAAAAGCTACAAGCAGTAACTCACTGAGGATTCCTTTTCTTAACACCCTAAGCAGAGTACAAAATTATTTTGGCATACATCTGTATAAACTATGTGATGTTATGTTAGTGGCACACGTTCTGGCTTAAATTTTCAGTCTAGATTCCTTCAGGAAGAAGACAAGTATCTTTTTTACTTCACCACCAATGCCACCAGTCTCAAAGTCTGGGACTTGGTCACAGATGATAATCAGCATTTGACCCTCTTTACGCCAGAATATCGGCTGTTATCCGATTTACTTACCATGTTCATCAAAATTAAAAGGATGCCATTTATTTAATCAAAAGCTACACTGTCTTCAACTGACCTTCCAACTTGATGCATATGAGGAATCACAGCATAATGTAAAATGTGAGTCAATTGGCTGAGAACCACTTTTCTCCAGACTTTGCATCATTTGGGGAGCATCGGAAACCCACAGACAATTTAGGAGTCAACGAACCAAAAATGACTGAAGTTAGTAGATGCCCTGGGAGTCAATAGCTGGCTTTACTTTCTGTAAAGCAAGATGCTTATGCTCAGCTGTAACATTCCTTCCCTACCACACTGCAGAATGTGTAATTTCTACATTTGAGTTTACATCAAGTACAAACCAGCCACAGAGGAAACTGTGTGAAAAGCTGTATTTCCACAGGGATCGCTTTTCTACCTGTGACTAGACTCAAAAGTATTTCTTCCTTTCCATACCTTTTTGTAACTCAAACTAACTGACCAAGCGCAGTATGTGCACCAAGGTCTTAATGGCTCAGTAAGTGAAAGATGTGGCTTAAGCCAGTTACATTCAATGTTTAGATTTTCTACTTTACCAAGGACAATTAGGAGGATATTTCAGCATTAAACAAGATGGACAGCTACTTCCTTGTTCCAGAGGCCTCTGGATTACCTTCTCATTAAAACCAAGAATATTTAATAGACCGAAGTACAGAAATCTTGGGGGTTTTTTTCAGTTCCCTTAAGTTGTGTCTGGCCAATCCACATTCTTAACGTTGTTAGTAGGAAAAACAAAGCCAAATAATAAAACTTCAGAATCACGCATCAAACCAGAAAGAAAGAGGGAGTCAAAAAACAGCAACAAAAAACATCAGAAGCTCACCACTTTCAGTCTAAAATCTGGCATCTACAACTCCATTTCTTCTTCTGCACACCCAGAGATTCCCAAACTAGCATAGGGATCTGGAGACATGGCAGTCTGTTGTGGTTCGGGGAATGTTTCAGTCTGTGGGTCAAAAGCAGCTCTTGGCGTTGACTGCTTAGCTTGACACCCTTCTGTACTCTGCTGCTTGAAGTTCTTAACAGAAACAGACTTCAGTTTATCTGTGAGAAATTCAGGAAGAGGTTTCCAAAGCACCAGCTCCATAGAAGGACGGCTCCTAGAAGGGATGGAGTCTCAGTTAAGGTTAAGTTCTCCAATCACAACTATTAAGTGCAGAAGACCAGTGTCTTCATTGTTTGTGCTAGCCTGGAACCGTATTCCAGAAGCCAAACACCTTCCCCCCCGCCCCCCATTAAATTTCCTCCTCCTTAACTAGTTCCATCACTTCTAGCTCTAACCCTGTATTTTCTTTCTTGTCTTTTGCATCAAACTTGATGATCACTGTTGGTCACACTTCAGGACCTTCTTTTGGAAACTCACATACATAAAAATCAAGACGTAACAGTTTATTCGACAAATTTCACTCTGTACAAATGAGGAGTACAAAACAGACAGCTTGACGACCACTATAGTTACACTTCTCTTTTATATTAGCATAGTTTTTCCTATTTTTGACCAAATGAACGGTCTGTTACGCAACTTTGGCTGCATCATGCAGTAATTAAGGACATCTCCACAGACATGCGACTGGGTCTCTCTTTTCATTTGAATGTGTTAGCTACATAGCACCATGATTTCCTCCAGAACTTACATAGATTCTATTATTTTCTTTGTCAGGACTTCACCAAAATCCCTCTTCATCCCTTTTTTAAGGGTATCTGACAGGATAAGAGTGGGCAGATTGCTAACATTTCCATCAGCATGAACTTCCTCATCTTCATCAATTATCCTAGGAACGGAGGGGGAAGAGGGAGATAAACACTATTGAGCATACTGTTAACAGGCACATCCACTGCAGACTACAGTTATGTCGACGTCCACTGCATTGTACAGTGCAGGTATCTGACTGGGGCTGGGTACCAGAAGCAGCAGGGCCATGTTAACATGAGCCTCTCTTGGGCCAATGTACCCTAAGAATGACTGTTACCACCGAAGCCACCTGAGCAGCTATGCCACTTCTGGTACCTGAGCTAGCTCCGTTACCCCTGCATCGTCCAGCAGTGCGCAATGCAGACACACACTGAGAGAAAATAAATTAATCCACTTCAGGGGAAAGTGTACGATTCGGTCACGCTACAAGACTGAGTCTCAGTTATGCAGTAGCTTCGCCTGCTCAATTCCCTGTACCTTAACTTTGAGAATTACTGAAAAGCTACCGAATACAGTTCTTAACCTTTAAGGACGCTGTGCCAATTTCTCAGAAATTAAAATGGCACAAAAAGTTGAAGCTTTTAGAACAAACTGGAGGTTTCTCCTTTGGTTTTGGTAAACCTTTTAAAGAAAATTTAGCAGAGTAGCTGGGAAGGATGAGGAAACAATCCTCTGAGAGGTCCAAAGCAGACTTTGTAATGCAGATACAGCCAGATAATAAAGACATACAGCACTACTCTGATTTACCCATGAAAAAATAAGATAATCTAACAGTACCTTGCTTCCCTTCACGCATCATCTATGGAGTAATCATCTAAAAAAAAATCTTTTTTTATAATTTATGTAACTTTTGGCTTTTCTAACAACTGTCCGCAATGGTCATTTTAGATATTTTGGAATTCTAGCTCAGCTGCAATCAACTGATAATATACACACGACATCCCCAGAAATCTTTCAAAGGCAAGAATGCACAGTACATTTATTGAATGATTGCAACAGACTGCCCGTAGCCACCCCACTACCAAGCCACCTGGCAAGATGAACCTCAGTCGTATTGCATACATGCAGAGAGATCTCTCTGGTTCATGCTATGCTCTACACCGACAAATTCAGATCTATCTTGAGCATACAGAAATATTCATCACAGAACACGCTGCAATTGCTTCAAAAAAGCTGAGCTCAAGTCTGACCAGAGAACATCAGTTAAAATTTGAGCTCAAAGGCATAAACCCCCGTTACAGTATACTGATGTTGCATAATGATTGTGAAAACGTGGTTATTTATTCAGCATCTCTTGCCCTAGCACTCTCAGTTTCAGACTACAGTACCAGCCTCAAGACTCGTAGGGCCATAGGTAGCCTAAAAAGAAATCACTTGAACAGAAGTTCATCTCGGACTTACAGTAGCGTTATCACACTGCTAAGTGCTAGAATTAACCCTTAATGCCCACCAAAAAAGGGAAAGCTCAGCAAAGCCAGTCTACTCAATCCCTGCATTTACCTGTCCTCAATTTCCTGAAGCTTCCTGCGAGCAACCTCGCATTGCTGTTCCCCCATTGTCTGATCCATTTCTTCACAGGGAATTTCTAACATGGCAGTTTCAGGACCGCTGCCACCATACTGACTTGCTACCTCCCCAGCTGCCTGCTGACCTGCACAGAGAATCCATTCTTCTGTGTTGGGATTCAAAGGGCAATTTTTGGCTCCTGTCAGTCTCTTCTTCCTCACAGGACAACTAGGAAACAAAATAAGTTTACAATTGTCAAGAGAGAAATGTGGCATTCTACAAGGAAAAATGTTATACAAAGTCACGTGCATTTGATGTAGTATGGAAACAACCTCCACAAAGAAAATAAATCCACATTGCTCTTTTTAAAACGGGGGTACCCATGCAAGAAAAGCAGTGCTACACAATTAATTAGGTAACTGAAACGGATTTGGGCTTATGTGCAACTCAGGGGAAGAGTTCCAAATGGCAACAGTGATAAAACTTCCCTTGCTGCATATGTTGTAGGTGAGCTGTGCTCAACTCTTTATAGAAACCAAAAAGCAAATTAAGATTTTTCAGGCTATAAAAGACAAATTTAATTTACCCTTCCGCCTCTTCTTCTAGCTTATGCTTCTTTCCACAGCGAACAGAGACACTGCAAAAGAAAAACAAATGGTTATTTAGCTTCTAATTATATCTTCCCGTGACATTGAGATTTTCAAACAATATTTTCCTCCCTTTTAAAATTTCACTTGCAGCCAAGAGCAACAGTCGCAGTAAGTCACCAGCTGTGAAGGGAGTAGAAGTTTTGGACAATACATGACCACTTTGTTCCAAAGAAAGTTGAAGGTGGCTGTAATTACTCGGTTCTCCGAGCAGAACTCCATGCTAGTTTCTCCTCCTTTACATTATTTTTTCCACAAGGGGAAAGACCAATTTTTGCTAAAATTCAAATGCGCCAGGAAGCAACACACGATCCAATTTCGGTCTCTTGATACATGGTCTCACAGTGACACAGTCAAATTAAAGATGACCAGACAACAACGTTTTATAGAATAACTCGAGGGTTTTGTGCTCATATATGAGAAAAAGCAAGTTAAAAAAGCCCAAAGAGTAAAAAAAAAAAGTGCAAGAGCTTAAAAGCACATCAAGATATTGGTAAACTTAAACGCGTTCCTTTCAGAAGGCTCCTTGATCCCCCACCAATACACTTCCAAGGCTGCAAGACGAGCGTGACACAATTCTAACATCACACAAGCGGAACGCTACTCGAAGAAAACAAACTACAACCCGTCTTGAAAAGAAAACTTATTTCACACGGCCAACGCAGCTGAGAAGTACGTTCCTTCCCTCTCCCAGCGGTAACTGGTTTTGCACTTACTGGCTGTGACCCTGCTGCTGGTGCAGGGCTGGCAGGGCTGCCGCACTCGTGAAGGAGCCCACCGGG